CATGGATGACTTCCACCTACCAGAAGAGGGGCAACCTTGACCAAGTGCCAGCCACAGGACTTCATCCACCGTGCCGCTCTGAAACTAAGCTAACATTAGCTTCTATGCCATTGACAACCCAGCCAACATCACCCAACAGACCTGAAAGGCGACTAAATTAAGACACCAGGAGAAAGGCGTGGTGACTCGTGTCAGTTTATATACTCTGCCGCTACCCTCTGATAGGATAAAAATCCATCCGATAAACAGCGGACGGTGGTATAAAGGCAACTCATTGCAAAGGGTGGCTAGCAGTCTACTGTTTACCGGACGTGATTTTATGTGATTTACAGTTTTGATTGCAGCTTTGAGAAAACTGTTAAGCTCACTGTCAAGTGTTCTGCTAGCAAGAGACTCACGATGAATTTCTGTGAAACAAGTCTATAGGTTTTTTGACTGAAGTAGGGTGCCTTGTCTTCAAATGTCTGCATTTTCCCAGGCTTCATTCTGTCATGGACAAGCACTTCTGGACAGATTACACACTGAGGATGGTCCACGTCGCTGACAGTACAGCAGGTGAATCCATACTTTGAGTTCTTCTTGATATTTCTCACGTTTCCTACTGTGGTCAACATGATCTGTTTCTTATGTTTAGGAGAAGTACACAGTTCAGGCAACTCAGGCAGACTGTTCACAATATCCTCAACAATTTTAGACTTGTGAATTACAAATGCATCCATTTTTGCAGTTGCGGTTTCCATGTACAGTTGCGTGCGAGTGATAAGTAGCTAGCAGTCAAAAAACCCAGTCGGCTTGGTGTGTCCCCGGCTGAAACGTTGCTTTAAGTGCAAACTTCAACGAGGAATGTCTTCTCAGGTGAGTCATTAGCTACTGTTTGGTCACTGGGTCAGCTTAGTATGTAAAACTTTCCATTCATGACTAGTACCTAAGCAGTGCTTCTCAAACTGGGGGCTGCACAGAATTTCTACAACTTGTCTTTAAATAATTTAAAAAAATATGTAAATTAGCTGTTCAATATTAAAATTATTTTCCTGTGAATAGTAAATTAATGTTCTATATTATTCACTTTTGTTATGGGCTGTGTTGTGTAGCACCTGCAGTGGTAAACCAAAACACATTATTGTGCCCGTGAATGCAGTTTTACGTGGATATCAGTACAATCTGTACTCAATGAGAGAGGTACGTGCGAGCCCATAAACTATTCTTGAGCCATAATTGAGTCGGTTTATTCTGTTTTGCGATTTTCCACAAATTTAACAATAACCTATTCCATGAATCAGCCTGTTCCTCTGGACTTGGAATCTCTTGTTTCTTTTCCCAAATCCTCAACCACATATTAAAAGCAAAAATTCACTCTCCTGACCTTTTACATTCAGTGTTCATTGCTTTGGAACATTGGGAGAAAACACACAGATATTAGACAAGAGACGGTCCTCAAAGCGCAGAGCGGGATATACGACCAAACATTTATCTTTGTGGGGAAATATAATTAAACTTAGCTTAAAGCAACACTAAGTAAGATTTTTCACCTTAAAATAATGTTTCCAAAATCGTTTCAGTGGTTCATCAAGTCGTAACAGGGTGAAAGGCACTTATGCCTCCGCTTTGCGGTCCTAAATCTGCTATATCCACGCTATGTAAGATTGCCAGATCGGGTCGCGTTTCTGTAGTTCTAATGAGACTACAAATTTGACTTGCTTTACGTCAAGCGTTACAATAGTCATTATTTTTTTTTTCTTCGTTTCTGATGTCGCAATACATCATACTTTCATGAAATCATGCAACATACTCTAGCTTGTCTGTGGACATGTTCATTCCAAAGCCGGTGCTGGATAAACAGCGAGCGAGCGTGCGACAGTAGGATGCGCTAGGCTAAAGTACTTACCACAGCGGTAATGGACAATTCCGCTTCCAACCTGTAGGGCGACCACAGAGGAAAAGTTACTTGGTGTTGCTTTAAATGTAGTGTAATTTATGTTGCTTTCCATGTTCAAGGACTTTACTTATTGCTTTTATTTTTAATGCACTTTAAAAGTTTGAATCACATTAAAAGCCTAATTTCAGCATTGTTAATTTCTGCATAAATATTTCCATCGTCGTTTTGTTGCACTTTTTCAAAACGAAAATTTCTGAAACACAGTTTAATGCAATACAATTTCTAGGGTGTATTCACACCTGCCTTGTTTGGTTCGATTGAATCGAACACTAGTTCGTTTCCCCCCTTGGTGCGGACCTTTTGGGCAGGTGTGAATACAGCAATCGAACTCGGGTGCGGACCAAACAACCGAACCGAGACCCAGCTGAAGAGGTGGTCTCGGTACGGTTCCAAATGAACTCTGGTACGGTTCGTTTACGGTGTGAACATGAACCGACCCAATTGCAAGAAAGCACTGCGCCTTTGAGTTAACAGGCGGAGTTGGAGTCGGAGTTGCGTTATGGGAAAGTGATCTGTTGTAGCCTACTACATTTGATAAAATGAGTTGTGGTTTGACCTGGAGCTTCGAAGAGACGAGCTGCCTTATTAACATTTGGGCAGATGCCCATGTAGCACAGAATAACACAAAATTAGTAAAAGAACAAATATTGCAGTACGAAATATCTCCATGCTGAGCCTTTTTTGCACTTCCTGATTTCCCTACTTGAGAATCTTGAGGCTGTTTTTTGTCATGAATTTTCTTTAGGGGCCCAAAGTGATGCACCTTCACAAGAACCTCGCGCTGAAAACGTTTGAGAACCACTGACCAAGACTAAACCAACTATGAGAACCACTGACCAAGACTAAACCAACTATGAGAACCACTGACCAACTATGAGAACCACTGACCAAAACTAAACCAACTATGAGAACCACTGACCAACTATGAGAACCACTGACCAAAACTAAACCAACTATGAGAACCACTGACCAAGACTAAACCAACTATGAGAACCACTGACCAAGACTAAACCAACTACCTTCACAAGTTTGGATATGAATCTTCAGTCTGCATTTAAGCCTGGGAAACTCAGAGTCGGGCAACGTTGGGTCGGTTTTGAGCGTCGCCGACGTAGTTTTTCGGTGTGTTACGTTTTTTTGGGATGATTCAGCGTGTAGAAGTGGCGTCTGGCTTTACACAGGCTACAACACAGTCTGCTTTCATCAGCGCTAGTTCTTTGGTGTGTCCCTGCCCTTACTTGTAGTTCTTTACACTAGGGGCTTCATGTCTGGCATTAGACACATTTATGTGGAAGGCGATAGTCTGGTTCAGTTTTACTGTCTCCTCACAAGACAATAACACCATTGAGCTGTTTTGCTTCAGATTCTGGTTTCTAGAGCCTGGTTACTGACCGAGGTTTGCACAATAGTGGAAAAGAGTATATCTGAGGCTATTTTGTAGCTTAGCAGTTATTTAATAATTATATATTTGTATTTTTTTACAAGTTCACAAACATAAAACGTGTCATCAGATGGTTTGCTGTAGGATGATGGATTGAGGTGTTTACATGACTTCAGTAATCTCAGTTCATTCATGCTTTTAGCAAATATGCCAGAAAAATGCATTTTTTTCTTTACATAGCAGTTTCTTAGTCATAGTCAGATTATTGCTGTCTATGTAAATGTAACCAATTTGATGACTTTTGAGTTTTAGAATACAGCTGCCAATGTTCAATTGTCCAATTTCCATTCCTCATCAGAAAAAAAGATGTGGCTTGAGGTGTTATCTTCAGAAACCTTTAAAAAAGGTTGTCTTTACATACATACTCTTGTTACTGGAGGATTGCATCTATGGATCCATCATTAAATACATTTTCAGTGCAACATGAGAAAGTGATCATGTACTGTATATAAACATCCTACTGTAAAGTGCCTACAAGCAACACAACATTACACATTCAAGGTAAAAAAGGTGCAAACATTTCTTTAGATGTATAAAAACAATCAATTTAAAAATTAAAATACATAAAAATGTATATCATGCATTTTGTTCTTCAGGACATTACCCTTCTCAGACCTACATCTGGCAAGCTAAAATTCATATACATTTTTTTTTATTGTCATTTATTTGTTTTACTTTATTTTTACATTGCAGAAAATAAAAGTGCTTTCTTCAGATTAGTTGAAATGTACATATTGCATGTCCCTACGAAAGAAAAAAGTATTGAAAGATAATCCGAGAGGTCAGAGGAGAGCGGACAGTTGGAACGGATATCTCCGTGTCGTAGATCGTGTACGTTTACATGTGCCGTTCAGCCTGTGTTCATGTATACTTGCATCAAAGGTCCTGCACCTGACTATATAACTGTACATTTACACAGCCATCTGCTGATCTCAGACCAGTTTGAGCTGCCGTGGTCGAGTGGCACAAGCACAGGAGAGAATAGTCGAAACTGGACCGTCTTCTGGTTAAATTACGTTAACAAATAGTTTTCCTTTTGTATTCTTAGACTTAAATTACTAAATATATATTTACATAAACTCCGGGCATTATAGTCGTAATAGATCACATTTGTATATGCACCTTGTAAATGCTTTGGAAAGGAAGCATCTGTACATAGTAGTGAAGTCAGTCCCAATCCGAGAGCAACACACTTCATTTACGTCACGTCTGAACGGATTACTGGCGAAACTACTTTATCCAGGCCGAAGGAGGAAGATTCCTGCAATCAGGAGTTTCATTCGGCTCTACACATTCAAAATCGATTTACACTCTTTGACTTCAAATCGTCCTGCTGACCACAAGCCTTCCACACACTAACGGACATGATTCTGGCGCTCTCATGGTAAATAGCACGAACCTAACGAAAGCATCACTGCTGCTTATTGGGAATGCCCTGAAGTGTTTAATTGCATTGATCTTTTCACATAGTTTGCTGACCTACTTGTCTTCCTATATTTTCCGTGGCTACGTCCTGGACACGAGGCAGTTTGTGATCCCAAATTTGCTTTGACCAGTGTGAGTGTATTTGTTCTTTGTGTGGCTAGACGTTTTGTGTTTACTGTTGTATCGTTGCCTTTCTTAGATGATGTGTACACACACGTGTTTCACGAAAATCAGTTTTACTTTGGTGCAACCTAAAGTGAAAGTGTGTGCTGGTGTGATGCCTGTGTGTGCTTAATTGCACGGGTTCACGTGTGTGTGTGTGTGTGTGTGTGTGTGTGTTTCAGTTTTGTGGCCCCTGGCCCCAGCCTCCTGCACTCGGGGGACGGCTCGGCTCTCCGCTCCCTGATTGGTCAAGCTCAGCACTGTCACAGTCCGAGTCCTCACATAATGCGCGAGTCTGGGAACAGGATAGAGAGCATGATTAAAGTCTTGAACACATTATATATGATGCTCGTAAGATTGACTATTCATAAAAAGAAGGCCGAGTTTTTCACGTCTGTTCCTGGAGGTTCACCGTCCTGGGGTGCGTTTCCCGTACAACGGCATAACTCGCTGCATAACTAAAATAGCACAATGCATCATTGAAGAAACCAACTAGCTAGTCACGACTGTTTCCAGAAACCCTATTTTCGCAAATTGGTGGTTCAACCGCGTTGGTTAATGACGTCACGCAGGTGGTGGAGTAACCGCAGGTCGAGATCTATCGTTCCAAACACACAACTCTGCGATGCTGTTTGCAAATGTTCGGTTTCGGGAAACACCGACTCATGAACTATGCTGATAATGCAAAACTTGCGAATGTTTTCGGGAAACACACCCCTGATCAAACTCCCCTACCTGTAGTTTTCCAGTCATCCTAAAGGTGTGTTTAATCAGCTAAACTCTGCAGGACAGTGGACGTCCAGAGCCAGATCTGAAAAAGCAATAAAGCAGCATTTGTTTTTCTCATGGCGATGTTATTAACTACGTCTACATGGACCCTAATATTTGTAATTGAACTAGTAGCCCAGTCCGAATAAAAAGTCACATGTAATCCCGTTAATTCAAATGAATTGGCCCAATCCTTTTCTAACCCATTCGATAGGATATGTAAACACTTGATCGGATTGAAAAAGTAAAGTTCTGAGCATGTGCAATCATGTAGAAATAACGAAATGACACACGGCATGAGCTGCTGTTATTGAACATAGTCTGTCGTGTCCCAGCAGTCCTTGCTTTGGATTCTCATCCACAGATGGCTTGTTTTGGGCAGATTTTTCCTGCTTGATAAATATACGCAGCACAGCACAAAGCTTCATGTGCTCGTCATCTCCTAATTAGGACCCAAAATAGATAAATATTAAAAACAATAAGCAAAAGTAGGAGGATGGCTAGTATGTGCATTTCTAAACAACGGGAAACTCTGTATATCGGTGCATTGTGCACATGTCAAAAGATCATGCATATAATAGCACACATTAAACCAATCACTTTATTTAGAGTTGATCTAACCCAAGTCTGGCCCTCGAGATCCACTGTCCTGCAGAGTTTATCTCCATCCCTGATCAAACTCACCTTCCTGAAGCTTTCTAGTAATCCTGAAGATCTTGATTAGCTTGTTCAGTTGTTTAATTAAGGTTAGAGCTAAACTCTACAGGAAAGTGGATCTCGAGGGCAAGAGTTAGCCACGCTACGTTCAGATTCATTAATTTCATTCCGACTGAACCAAAAGGTATCCATGTAAACGTGGCTAGCATGTTATATGGTTTTACACAATACTAGTACCTCCTGGATATTTTGTTCCAGGTCAAAATTGGCTCTCTCCAGTTCGAGGGCAGCTGCCTCTCTCTCAGACAGAGTGGGGTCTGTAATATCCACAGGGATCTCAGACCCTTGGGAGATGAGGTCATCGCTGCGGTCGTCCAGACGCTCGTCGGTGTTGGTACTGACAACATCTGGTGTGCCGCTGTGGGAGTGGTCAGTGGTGTGGCCCTCCTCTCCCTCTGAAACCGACAGGTTCTCTGAGCTGAAAGTGGACACTGATTGGCACTTGGTTATACTGGTTGGCCGTCTGTAAATTGGACATTAGAGAACATAAAAACAATTAAACAAGGTTATATTAAAATAAAAATTTGGTAACACTTTATTTTGTGGTCCACTTTGGTCATTCTACTATCTATAAGTAACTTATAATGGGTTCCATGTCGGCCCTATGGGGTTAATCTGAATTAACCCCAGTATGGGCCCTAAATTGGTTTGTCACATGGAATCGATGTTGATGGCGTTGAAATTCTGCAGCAGAGCGATGACATCTCAGATAATTATCTAGTCTTGTGTATACAAATATGGTAGAACTATCGCATCTACCACTAAAGATTGCTATAGAAATAGTCTTCCTGATCAGTTTCAAGTCCTCAGCATAACAGAAGAACTCAATGTTGCAACAGAAACTATTGACTCTCTATTTTCCAGCACTTTAGACACAGTTGCTCCTTTGCACTTCAAAAAGATTAAAGAAAATAGTCCAACGCTGTGGTATAACGAGCGCACTCATACCCTCAGAAATGCAGCCCTAAAAATGGAGTGTATCTGGAAGAAAACAAAACTAAAGGTATTTCGCATTTCGTGGAAGGACAGTGTTACTGCATACACAAATGCCTTAAAAACTAAATTAACGAGAAATAAAGCTTCAACTTCGGACATTTCCAAACAGCACAGTAGTAATGACTTTATGAATTTATTTAAGATTGATACTATTACAGAAAGAACTATAACTATGCAACCGTCTACTATAGTATCCAGTCAGACGTCATTCTATAGACCCCCTGAGGAACAACTCGATTCATTGTTTGCTATAAGAGAGAAGGGATTGTCTAAATTTCTTAAATAATCAAAATCAACAACACGGTAGACCCTATACCGACTAACCTACTGAAAGTGATGCTTCCAGAAGTCATAGATCCTCTTCTTAATAATATTTATATATTGTGAAGAATACACATATGGGATCGCCGTAGGGATCACAGCATATGGACCCAGCCTAACACAGGTTCCACCAGTGCATACGAGTGATAGGCCTGGCTTCGGACATTCCGCCATGTCCGTTGCCGAAGGGTATGGAGGAACTCGACATGGTTCGGCTAAAAAGGGGAACTCAACTGGAGCAAGAATTGCGCACGTATCCAGTCCAAGGAGTGGAATGGCGCAGCAAGCCGACACAACGAACCGGGCTTACAGTGAAACTGGCTTCATGTGAAGGGAGCCCACGGGAAGCAGCGGTTCGACTAAGGTGTCGCCCAGCCCTCAACTCTAGAATATCTGTCAGCGAAGCACTCTGTGTCAACGCCTAAGCGGGAGCACACACTCATTAAAGAGGAGCTCGCCACCTAAGTGAACATGCATCTCAGGACTTTCACCAAGATGAAGGCAGCCACTTCAGTGGGCCAACCTCGCTTGGAAACAGCCTTCCCTCTCTGCTGATTACCTTAACAGATAAGAGCTGATCTGAGGTCCTAAGGCTTGCGTTCTGTGCACGTAAAGCGCAATGAAGCGGACGGACCGAGAAAGCCAGGGCTGGGTCTGCCTCCTCCAGGCAGCGCTTGCAGGCACATATCCAGGCCGGGGTCTCAGCTAGTGAGAGTTAGCCGGCCCGAATTCCAGGCACAAGTCGTTGACCGAAAGCGAGCAAGTCCCTACCCTCTAGAAGAGACCATGCGAGCAGGAGAACTGTTAAAAACAGAATTTTTAACTCACTGCCTGCAGTGGCTCAGGGGCGGTCTCTGCATTGCAATAGCACCAGAGGCAGGCCCAAGAGGATAAAGAGGGGCGCAGGGATGACCCTTGCTCCCTCAGGAACCTGACGATCAGGACGTGCTTCCCATACTTCTGCATATAATGTTTGTATCATATTGAGGGTGAAGGAACCGCCTACTCCAACCCAACTTGCAGGAAAGAGAGCACTGAAATGACCGAACGCTCTCAGGATCTCCTCACGGAGAGAAGACTCATTCAACGAATAGGTTCCACTTCTAACTAGCGAAGCACAACTGCCTTATCTTAAGGGGGCGCTTGCAGAAGTGATGGTCACTACCACATATCCTTGTGATAACGACCTGAACCTCCCCGTCCAGTTCTTTGAACGCGGTTGCCATCATGCCCCGTCCCTGAAATGTATTCAGGGGAAGTCAGGAAGGCTGTCGAGGGAACTAGATCTGGTTGGGCCAAAAAAGGAGCAACTATCAAGACCTGTTCCACTCCTGACTTAGCACAGTAGGTGCAAGCGACATGCACGCACAAGACAGGAGCACTGCTCAACACTAGATGTGATAATTCACTGAGCTTCAGGAGCATTTCTGCTCAACACCTGAGTGTGATTAACATCAATGAACTTGAGCAGCGCCAAGCGATAATGAATCGCATAGCCGCTTTCTTAGAAGGCTCACTGGGGAATGCATTTCTTCTGGGCCCCGGGGTCAGCTGAAAGGCAGTGTCTATCCAAGGGATGTCCGCTCAGACAGAAACACAACTGGCAGAGGGACGAGTCCGGAGGGGCAGCAGATGCAACTGTGCGGCCCCGAAGTGGTCCCTGCCCAGCTGGACCGCCAAGGGATTGGAGTCTCCACTCTCCCTGGCCATAGCTGTCGTGAGGCTCATTGGCGGCACGATTGAGGAGGCTGGAAGAATTTTATAGTGGAATGAAGCGACCTCAGAAGCTTCTGACTCCAAGGAGGAGGTGACGGGCGAGTTGTGACATGCGAGGGAAGCTTAGCGCAATGGTCGCGATGTTGTCTTTTCAGACCAGTACCAGCTCGCTGAGCAGAGGTGGCTCAAAGCGAGGAAAACTGCCAACTCGAGGTAACGAATACCAATTCAGTCGGAGGTTGCCCAGGCCTCCGTTAAAGCATGCCCTTTGTACATGGCCCCTCAGTCGGTGTTAGTGGACATGAAGGTCTGAACACGGGCTGAGAGTTTGGCGGCAGGCCGGGGTGATCTTATATCACACAGGGCGTGCCGCTCTGCCACGGTCACCTCGGGACTCGATCATAAAACTAGTGCTGAAGCGGTCTTCATATGGAGGAAGCCAAGCGGCTGCGTCTACCATATGCCCCAGGAGCCTCTGAAACTTTCAGTGGGACCCTTTCTCACTTCTAGCACTAGCCTAACACACTCTTCTTGAAGAGACGTGTTGGACCGAGTCCTTCTCCTGAACTTAAACAGAGATTACTCTCTCCCAGTTGACCTGAAGACCCAACTGAAGAACCAGCACTCGAAGGGTAGGACTTGCACTGATACTTCGTACCCTCGACGCCAGAACACAGAATGGTCTGTGGAGCGGAAGGATAGAGATCTGAAGTACTGTCCTTCAGGTCGAACGCTGCAGGCCAACCTTGGGGACGGAGCATTTGAAAATGCATCTCTGTGTAGTAATTGAACGGAGGCTTTCGAAAAAGGGCCCGTATCAATTGACACAGGTCCAAGATGGCCATAACCCACCACCTATCTAGGGTACAATGAAGTACGGGTTTATAGAAACCGGCCTTCATATCGGCTGGAGGAGAGGCAACATCGCGTCCTTCGCCAGTAGGACTGCGATGTGCGCACACAGGACAGGAGCAGCGCTCAACACGTAGGTGTGATAAATATCACTAATCTTAGGAGCATCTCAGCTCAACACCTAGGTATGATGAATATCACTGAGCCAGGGCGAAGCCAAGAGAAGTGAATCGCAAGCCGAGTCTGCTGGTAGTTTTGGGGCCAGCTGGAGTGGTAGGAAGCATCTTCAGGCTTACACACACCGTGCCAGGGGCCAGGGAACCACAGACGTACCCAAGGTGGGGCAGCGAGGTGGAGGACAGGGACCCGGCTCGGAAGGCCCAGAGGCGGCCCGAAGCTGGGTCTGAGTGTGGTGTATGACACTTACCTGTCTCCACGAGATGGCCAGGGATGCGTGAGAAGGCGGATTACCGGGTCCTCGAACCGCACCCAGCTGCCGTGCTGGCGAACAAGAGGGGGCTGAGGGGTGCAAGGCTTACAGGGTCGCACACCGCCAGACTCACCCTCTTGGAACCCAGGAAGAGAGGAATTTGCTCTTTCTTTGGAGTGTGGGTACCGCTTGCTCCGCTTCTTTTGGGAGCAGTGGAGGAACAGACACACACACAAACAAAGACTCCCCCCGGCCCTCACCCGGGGGGAGGGAGTGGATTGGTGACGAACTCCCAGAGCATCCTCCTCCATCCCTGAGCGGCCCGCTCCGGAATGCTTTTGCTGTGGCTTGCCACCTGGCTTGGCAGCGCCTGGAGCGGGCTGGGCGTCCCTACTGCGGCCGGCTCCATGCTGAGGCCAGGCTGGAGGCTGCTGCGGAGGCCCAGTGGGAGCGGCGGCAGGGGAACGCCCTCGGCGACGAGCAGGCGGAGGAACTGCCACCGGCGGCGGGGTGGAGGCAGCAGCGGGCCGCCGGGGCAGGATGTGCCGGATGGCCTCTGTCTGCACTTGGGCGGCAGAGAACTGTTGGACGTAGTTCTCCGCCGTGTCGCCGACCAGCCCAACCTGGGAAATTGGGGAGACCAGGAACCGAACCTTGTCCGCATCCGCCATATCAACCAGGCTGAGCCAACGATGGCGCTCCTGGACCACTAAGGTGGACACCGCCAGACCGATCGCGCCTGCCACGACACTCGTGCCCGGAGGGCGAGGTCAGATGCAGTGCGATGCTCACCTATGAGCGCACGGTCTGGGCTACCCTCGTGCATGTCAATGGATGCCCTGGCCTGACAGACCTGTAGCAGCGCCATGGCACACAAGAGGAGGCGGCTTGCCCACAGGCCTTGTAAGTTCTGCCCGTCGGAACGGAGACGAGGATCTCCCCAAAAGGTAGCGTGTGTCGCGACAGACCGCTCCACTGGAGGGATAACCTCGTAACCCTTCACCGCTCCTCCATCAAGGGTAGTGAGGGGGAAAAGCTATTCAGGCAGTTTCTGGCAGAGAAAGGTGCCATCCACAACCTGGTAAGCTCTCCATGCACTTCGGGAAAGAAAGGCACTGGGACGGCGAGCTGAGAACCAGCGCGGCCCGCCCCAAGATACCAATCCTCCAACCGAGACTGAACGGGACACGGTGGAGGGTTCCACTCGAGCCCGGCAGCCTCGGCGGCCCATTTCAGCGTGGCTGACATTTCTGGATCTGGCACGGGCAATGTTAAACTCCTAGAGGGAGAAAACACAGCCGCGTCATCTCCAGAGGCCAGCTCACCCTCCGATGCTGCTATCGACATCTTATCCTCTGGGGGAACCCCAATTGAAACGGCTGATCGGTCCATTACAGAGGGACCAGCATGTTCAACAGGAATTCCATCGGCTACAGTGTGATGGAGGAGTGAGGAGCCTACAGGGAATGGTTACCAGGCGAGATCTCCATCACTATCCTCCGTTCACCCATCCCACATGGCACCCGGGGTTGGGGCATGGTAATGGGGACTCGCGCTTCGTGGACGAAGGCGAGTCTCGATCTCAACACCGCGACAGTCATATTCCTGTAATGGGAACATGTACCACCCACAAAAGCTGCTTCAGCGTGCTGTAAGCCCAAACACTTGATGCAACAATTGTGACCGTCAGAGAGGAAAAGGGAACGACCGCATCCAGAAATGCACAGGTGGAATAATTTTTTTTTTGTTGAAAAAGACGCAAACGCACCCGTGTTGCTCTTTCAGGAAATAGGACCCGTCACCAGTGCCGGAGCACACAGGGGAATGACCGCGGCAACACTGAACAGTGAACTGAAACAGTGAAGCACTCACTTTTCCACCCTCTAACCAGCCGTCAACACAAACAAACCTTTAGAAATTTGTTGCTGTTAAAACAGCAGTTGAGAGATCAAAGCTCGCGATCACCGCTACACTCACGCTGTAGAAACCACCAGCACTGGGAGAGTTTTCCAGAAGAACACCGACAGACTCGCTCGTTGTAAACAACAGCACTCTTCAGAGACATCAAAGACGATCGGCTCCGAAGTGAAAGACAACTAGTGCGTGCATCCACTTCCGTATTTATACCCGCGGCGCGGGGGCGGAGAGTGTGATGCATTTCACACACACCAATTTCATTGGCTCATTTTAATAGTACTAGAAGATGACAGGCTCTCTAAGCGTGATCCCAATCAGTCGACACGTCGACTACGTCGAACGTGAACGACTGAAAGGGAACCTAGAATACTGTCTAACACTTGATGGCTGCTCTGTCAAGTCCTCGTCATTAGAACCTGGTTGTGCTCCTTGATACCAATCTTTCATTTGAAAGTCACGTTTCTAGCATCTGCAAAACCACATTCTTCCATCATAATATATCTAAAATACGACATATGCTCTCAATGACAAATGCGGAACAGTTAGTTCATGCATTCATGACCTCAAGGCTAGATTATTGTAATGCTTTACAAGGTGGTTGGCCTGCACGCTTAATAATCAAACTACAGCTAGTTCAAAACGCAGCACCTAGCGTTCTTACCAGTACCAGGAAGTATGACCATATTAGCCCGGTTCTGTCAACACTGCATTAGCTTCCTATTAAATATCGAATACATTTCAAAATCTTGCTAATTACTTACAAATTGTGTCAAGTACTTACAAAAAGTGCCAAGCTCTCTTTTGAAATGCAATAGGCTATGGGTTGAGTTATTTTCTTTGCCTGTTCAGAGTTCGGTGAGAGTTTAGAGCATTGAAAGAGTTGGTTGACTGCCAAGTTAGTTACTTTAGGTTGTTGTTCATCCTTGTCTTTAATGTTAATCTCTGGGCGATGGCATACCATGTGATTTCTCACGTTTGTGGTGTTTCCAAAATACTGTATATAGCATGATTCCTATCAAGTTCCGTCTCTCCCATGAGGTCATAAAAGCCGAAATGTGCCCAAACTCTCCCCTTCAATGAGGATGGAGCAGGTTGTATAATTCTTACTGTGAGGTTTGCCATTGTTTGCGCCGACTTACTTCTGCTGCACTTCTTCTTTTGGTTATGACAAGAGTGAGCAGGCGTCAGTGTGAATTCGACGCAGCGCCATCTATAGGAATGGCGAGCTAAACTCATTTAAGGAAAATAGTATGCACGCCATTACAAAATGAAAAACAGAAAATATGAATCGATTTTTGGAATTCTATGAATCGATTTTGAATCTGTAAAGCTTGAATCGCGATACAAATGTGAATTGATTTTTTTTGCACACCCCTACTATTTAGCACCTAAACTCTGGAATAGTCTTCCTAGCATTGTTCAGTAAGCACTCTCTCTGAAACACTTAAATCTAGACTAAAAACACATCTCTTTAATCTAGCATACACATAACACATTATCACATTTCTATTATTCAAATCCGTTAAAGGATTGTAAGGCTGTAAGGTAAGGTTGTAAGGTAAACCGGAGACCGGGAACACTTCCCATAACACCAGATGTAGTTGTTACATCTTAAGAGGAATGGCATCTATGTTAATATTAGTCTGTCTGTCTCATTCTTTTCCTGAGGTTACCGTAGTCAGCCGTATCCAGATCAGAAGGGGGACCTGCACCTAGACACGACCTCTTTGCAGCCCTGAATGTCAGCAGAGACTGTGTCTACTAGACAATCCCCTGTGAAGACCTCGTTGATACCGCACAGATCCTCAGCAAAGACCACAAGAACCAGAAGGGTCTTCTGCAAGACCTATAGTCAGCTTCATCTCCATACCAGCGTGATGAATCTGATCTTCAAGCAGAAGGAACTGAATAAAATATTTTGAATGCTATGTCCATAATCTGACTTCTGACTTGTGATGCAGCTCGAATCATAATCACACCATGTTCGTTCGTTGGACAGAGGAGAACTGGACCCCCGACCGAGCCTGGATTCTCCCAAGGTTTTTTTTGGGCTTCCTTGCCACTGTCGCCTCTGGCTTGCTTAGTTGGAGACACTTAATATTCAGCAATATCACTGATTTGAATGCACTGACACTATTGGATGAGAAATCAACTAAGCTGGACGATGAAATCACTGTTTTCTGCAGAGCTGCTTTATAGCTGAATTTAAGTCATTTCATAATTGATGTACTTTACACAGTTATTGAACCTGGTCACCTGGTAATATCGGCCCTATCTGAATTAGCTCCAGTATGGGCCCTACATGAGTATAACATAACACTGTAGTGTCTGTACTCATATTATAAATATAACCATTTTGACATAACTAAAAAAATACATAACACTCAATCAGCCTATTTGCATGAACATTTGCCAAAGCAAGAAGACATTATTTAATTATGGATTTGGAAAGACAGCTTTACAAATAAAGCAACTTCCAACTATCATAATTCACAAGAAAATATTCCATAAAGAATAAATAATGATGTTCTTACCGTCTTCTTGGTAACTCCACCTCACTGTCCACTTCACCCTCTTCTTCTTCAGAGGAAACACCACGTCGCTGGTGGAATTCAATACAATTCGTTCAAAAAATGTTCACATGATTGAATAAATATCCATAACATGTGTTTATAGGAAAATGGACAAAACATGCTTAATGATTGAGGCACAGAAAAGCACAGAAAAAAAAATACAAATGTAAATTGATTTGTAAATTGTAAATTTACAAATGGATTTTTTAACAATATTTAGCATTTTTGCTATGTTTTACTGTGTTTTTTATTAGTGTGAAACTTGCAGTTGTACAGTAACTTCGTGTGGTAACATCTAAATTGATTGGTTTTACTCAAGTTAAAGCTGAATATCAATTGAATAAGCTGTAACAGTTTACGGCGGCTCTAGTTAACTTCAGAAGAGGAAATAGAAAAGATGACGAAAAATGGTGACCCATCATGGGACCTAAAATATGTACCTTCCCTTGTAGATCTATTGAAATCTGAACTGAAAGTATGAATATGAAATCTTTTGTCGAAGGAAAAGAGAGATGCGTACCTGTTTGCGTGTGATAGCAGCTCGATACAGTATGGCTGATGGAGTCAGATGACTTCCGCTGGATCCTCTGGGCAATCGCACGGCGCCGGTGCCCTCCTCTCTCTCCTCGGCATGGGTTCTGCCCACCGCTCCACTTCTGCCACAGCAGGGGGAATCAGGGCTGCTGGAGAACGGCAGGGAAGCGGCGTCCTCACTGGCCGTGTCACTTCTGGGTGGAGTCTCGTCCAGACCGGCGCCCGCTTCAGCCCCTCCGCTGGTCTCTCTGACCAGGGCTTCAGTCGTGGCGGCACCACTGACTCCATCTTCAGCGTGGCGGGTGGAGCATAGCAGATCCGGGCTGGACGAGGACAGCTTCAGCGGGGGTGGCTCCAGCTGGCCCTCCCTTATGGCGCCCACTGAAGCCGTTTCAGCTAGGGGTGCGGCGGGCGCCGTCGTGCTGGACAGCGGGGGCTTTCTTTCTTGGCTAGCAGGGGCAGAGGGGTGCTTAGGCCCTGACAGATCCCCACTGCTTCCTCTGCCACCCCTCCGATGACGTGTTTTCACCCTGCGGTTCCGACTAGGTGAGGTAGGTCCTCGGTTTGCACACGGCGGGACGGTCACCTGCATCACACCAGCGTCCATCTTGGGGAGAATGATCTCTGACCTCAGGAGGTCGGGTCTGGATATGGCAGTTAAAGAGGAAGTCATTTGTTACTCAACATTCTTTTTGGTGGCACTTTACATATTACAGTGTCCATGTTAAGGCAAATTCCCATTGCATTGACCGATGCCGACCAACACAGTCACCAAATTACAATACGTCACTTCTCAACGACAAATGCAGATTCAGCATGTTCGATTGGCGAAAACGAGAGCTGACCAACGCCCGTAGTCTGTTGAGTGTCAATTGGCCTTTACAGTGTAATTGCATGATTGCATTCAGTAGTACTAATTTTAGAGCCCTGCACGGGCCTCAAATCTAGGCCCTAGCCCGGCCCTGCCCCGAGACGCTCAGGCCCTAGCCCGGCCCGTGTCCGACAGCTCATCAGAATGATCAGCCCGAGTCCGACCCGAGCCCGTAAAAAAAAAAAAAGAAAAAAAGAAAAAAAAACAGCCTGACCTATGTTGCAGTCAGTAAACCAGATATATTTTGTTTTCAATGGCAAAGTATTTACCGGTAAGTTTATTTTCATTTCTTTATACAGTTAATTAAGAAAAAACAACAACAAAAATTTATGACGACCAAGCAGCCGACAGCGAGTTAAACATGTTTGATCCATTGATTGATTTATAGCCTCTCAAATCAACACTTTACTTGGCTACAATAAAATCCATAGATATAAAACAACTTAAGCATATCACACAGACAGTTAACGTTAGTTTAAACGTTTATTGTCATTTTTGAAAAGCTGAGGCAAACTGCTCTGCTGCTCAGTCGCAACAGCGCTCGCAAACTAAATGAATTTATAATATAGGCTACAATACAGAGAATGCAATCTAAACAAATCAAATAAATTACATTAAAAACAAACATGCAGGTTATCTTACCTCAAAAATCAAGTCTTCACTACAGAACATGGCCATTTCCAATAGTTTCCAACAGACTCATGAAAATAAAGTCCAATCAAACAAAAAACAACCTCCTCCTAACATGGCTAAGAACAGTCTCAGAGCATCGTGAAGAAAAAGCACAGCATCCACAGTGGAAGGTTTTAATCCAGTCGTACTTTTTCCAGCTGCGCTGAAGTCACGCTCGCTACCATAGCGGGACACTAGAACGAGCCGGTCGCGCGAATCTCAGATCGCGCCGCCGGGAAACCTGTGTGTGTGTGCGTGAGCGTGAGCATGAGCAGACTGTCATGTGTCAGTCATATGTCAGTGTGATAGGCTATAAAACGTCTTTCTATGTTTGCTTTTCAATCGTCATCTTCTCATGTTTTATTTTAATTAATGTCTAAAATAGGCTATAAAAAAGATAAGCCTAAAACAGGCCCGAGGCCCGGCCCGCGTGTGAACTATGACGTGAAAATTGGCCCGAAGCCCGGCCCTAGAAGCATAAATAAGTCGGGGCCCGTCGGGCTCGGGCTGAAATGCAGGCCTCTAGTACTAATGATAATTATTATAGTGTTAAATATAATATAAATATCATGGTTCATGGAAACACATTTACCGAATAAATCCCTTGATGTGCAAAAACATTCATGTGGCTTTGCTTCAATAGAGGATGTGATTGGATAACTGGACAAACCAGCAGACTAATCACACCACAGTATCTTAAATGTTGGTTTGGTTCTGAAATGCCTGAGCCAAAGTGTGTCATCAGAATAAGGATCCTTATGGAATTTAATCATTGGTTTGCAAGATGACAAAGACACATTAATGCAGCAAAGCATTTCATTTTGCTTAGGAAAATGTAGCCGGTTAAACAATAAACACAAGGACTTTAAGACCAAGCAAGGCATCTGGCAAATCTGCCCTGAATAATTTCGATTACAACTTTATGCTTTATCAGTAATGTCCTTTTTTTTTCAGAAAAGTGTGTCTTTCATAATTCTGCGTGTCCGTGTTTGTAGAAAATGTTGAAGATCATTTTCTAAACATTTAATCATGTACATATTCTTTCTATCTTGGAATTTCTTGTGAAGCCGACTGTGGCTGTTTTATACACATACACTTTCATACAGTCACACAGAAGACAAAGCCTTTCTACCCTACATAACATTGTGTGTAAGACAGACTATAACCCTGACCTTGATGTCCATGTTATATGTTGTACTTATGACTGAATGTGACTCCTCTCACCTCTTGCCATGAGACGGCAGTTTCTGAGGGACGCTTCTCTTCTTGATGAGTTTGTCCACTGTGGTCGAGGTGTGATGTTTGAACAGACCGGGATATTTCTTATCCAGACACTGTTCCCTCCTTAATAAATAACACCATGGCATTAGCACTTATAAATAAAGATAAATGAATCTAATTTGGATGGATTTCAGTTATCTGAAAGTAACATGGGGATGATGGGAGTCCTTTCAGACCGGTCAAGAACACCGGAAAAGAAAAGCATCCTAAATAGTTACACACTGTCCACTGCTACAGTAAATACAGTATCTTTGTTCAGTGGTTTATAGTCTTTAGATAAGTCAATCTCTTTTCACTATCAGTTCCCAGGATATGAGGTGTAATTAAATTATTATGGTATAGTAATATTGAAAGGAAAAACAGTGGGAATGTCTCCTTTGAGAATGTCTCCTCTTTTATTATTTGTATTTGCTATGAATCTTCACTGTGCATCTAGAGCTCTGCAGGATGTCTGGTGAGATGTGGTAAAGATGATGTCAGTGGATCACCTGAGCAGCTCTTTCTCCTTGAGCTCCAGCTGCAGCATGACGGCGTTCAGCTCCATGTAGAGGTTATTGGCTCTCTCCAGCTTTCTCTCGTAGTGTTCTCTGATGTCCAGCGCGTGCCTGTGAACATGAGGCGTGCTCAGCAACATGTCCACCGCTCTTCTCCTCTCGCTCTTATCATACAGCTCAGCCCTCAACTCCTGCGCTAACACATCCAGTCTACTGTATAACCTCACTCTATAGAGACGCTTCATATAGAGAACCTTTTCCGTCATGGGATCATTCTATGGATTTAGTTTTAATTTTGATTGATTTTTTCATTACAATTAAATTGTATGAATTAAACAGCTTGTACACATACCTTATCACTAGAAAATTTAAAAACCTGTAAAAAATTAGAGTATTATGCAATCCTTTAAGATGTTTATTCTCATTTAGAACCTTTTTCATTAGGGATACACTGATATGAACATTTTGGCCGATACTGATAATTCTTTATATCTGAAAGCCGATAACCGATATATTGGCCGATAAATCTAAATCCAAATTTTTATATAATTTTTGAGAGCCTGATTACAAAAACAAAAGTCTCACCATTAAAAGCCATGTACCAAACACAGAATTATAATGTTCTCATTATAAGTTTATGTAGCCGATATGACAGACTTGCTGTGCACTTTACTGTATTTTCCTTTAATTATATTTCAAGCAATGTCTGAAGGGAATAATACATTATTTATCGGCTTTAATATATCGGTCCAATTTTCTTATCAGGCCGATAACGTTAACATAAAAAATGTACATATATCGGCCGATATCGATATGATTACTGATATATCATGCATACTTTTTTCTGGAATAAAGAGTTCTTTAAAACTGAGTCAGGAACCCTAGAGTTCTAAATAGAACCTTTTTTTCTAAGACTGCAACATATTGAAACAAGCATGACAATTGAAAAAAAAAAAAATTAGGTTTCTGTGATTATTTGCAATGTATTAAAATGTTTAATCCTAAAATATTTACACACTGAATCCCTAATTACTGTAGAATAAAAAAAGCAAGTAGTCATCTACTCTATGTAATTTTCCCTCCTGATCGGCTGTATTAAGGATGTTTTGGGTCATGTGATCGCTGCTGACCTGAGTTCCTCCCGTCGCCGGTTAATCAGCTCTTCATCCAGACGGTGCAGACACGTGCCCTCCGACTT